TAGGTGCACTCACGCATACACACAACGAGATAGGACGTTAGTAATACCTATTGTACGTGCTGAAACGACCTCGCTCCGTAGCACTCTCTCTCTCTGTCTGTCTCTCTCTCTCTCTCTCTCTCTCTCTCTCTCTCTCTCTGTGTCTCATTTGTAGCACTGTGCGTTCGGTAACCTCACTGCAGTTGGTAGGAATGAATTCTGTCTGTTCTTACTTCCTTGGAAATGTATCGTTTACTGCGGATCGATAATTGAAATTCCGATGTCAGGGGGTGGCTATGGTCACTTAGCATTATTTTCGCCTTTTTTTTTTTTAGAACGTTTGTCTTGTGGAGACATTCTAGGTAAGTGACAAACTGAATATATTCTGGACAACAGCAGCAACAACGACAATTTCTTCAGAGTAAAGAAAATAATTTTCCCTCTCTTTTCGTGCTCTGGTGTGGTTTGCTTCTTCTTTCCTATCAAACATCTATCGTTCTTATCTCCCCTCCTTCTGTTTTATGTTTGTTACTCTCTTGTAACACCTCTATCTAATCTTCTGGCGCTCATATGACCTTATGCAGTTGTGAGCGCCTTAAAACGTCTACTAAAACTAAAACCTCTCTTTTCTTTTCTATTTTTTGTCTTTCTCTGCTGCTTTTCCATTGTCCTTTTTGTCTTTCTAACGGTCTACAATCTCCGTGTGAGGGGGGCTCTCGTGGTCTAGAGGTTTAGGTGTTCGACTCTCATTCAAAGGCTTTGGGTTCGAATCCGGGTAGTAACGGACAAAAATTATTCTGTAAAATTGCCTCCTTTCGCCTCCTTTCCTGCTGTCCAGCAATGTTATGTCGCCTGCTTTCGTCTCCACTTTCTGCCTCAACCCCCTCACCTCCTGTGCCCCATCCTCTGGGTTCCTGACTCTTTCGCAGCCTTTCTACTGCTTCTCCTTGACTCCTTCTTCCTGCTGTCTACACCTAGCGTTCTCGGACAAGGGCGAAAAATCTCGGAGGTATCGTGGGCAAGTTGCGCACGTTAAATATCGCTTTATAGTCTAAAATCGGTAAGAAGAGTAGGCTTCGGCCGCCACCCGGATAAAATTCTAAATTTTCTACCAACTAAAATTGTTTAATGTGTCCCGCACGCTCATATGACCTTATGCAGTTGTGAGCGCCGTAAAACACTTCCAATTTTAAAAAAAAAATCTCCATGTGTGTGTGTCTGTTCCTCAGGAACAAAGTGGAGCCGTCCCGACAGAGCAGTGACGAGAAAAGTTCTCCGCGGTCCGAGGCCAGCAGCAGCCGCTCACACCGGTCAGTGCTTGTCCTCTCTCGCTCAACATTGCCTGTCTCCTTTGGTTGTTGTTGGGTTTGGTTTTTTTGTTGTTGTGTGTGTTTTTGTGTGTGTGTTTTTTGTGTTTTGTTTGGTTGTTGTTGTTTCGTTTTTGGTTGGGTTTTTTTTTTGGGGGGGGGGGTGTAGGGATTGGGATGGGTTGTGGGGCGTTGTTTTGCGTGTATTTATTTAGTGTAGATGTTTTTATCCTATCTATCACACTATGCTATGCCATGCAACCTTATACATGCCTTGCCATGTTATAGTATCTTATACTATACCCTACCATAACTTGCCATACCTTGCCACACCACAGCACACTGCTCCACATTGCACTGCATCACACCACGCCACACCACACCACACCATACCATACCACACCACACCACACCACACCAGGCCACACCATACCATACCACACCACACC